CTAATTATTTGTTTTCATTGTATTTACTGATTGTAAATATTATATGGATATTAGTATCCAAATTATTTCACACCGTAGGCATAACATTTTTTTTTTTTTTGGAAGAAAAATATCCGACCCAGATATTTTCTTTTTTGTAGAGAAAATTTATTTAAATATATTTATATAGTTTATATTTCAATTACTTCAAAACTATGCTTGGATTATTATTCCTCCCATTTCTTCCACGGAATAACACAATATGTTTCTTATCATGTGCAACATTTCTACCACAATTTCTGCCATAAAGAGTTAATTCATTGATGCATAGAACGAACAAAAACAACCATTGCTTCTAATAAATATTGAAAATAAGGTCAAGTAAATGTTATTCCCCCAACTTTGTGGAATGACCAATGACATTACTACTTTATATTTAGTGAATTGCCGTTGTTGTTGTTTGCGTAAAATTGAATTGATTCAACTTTACACAACGCAAGACCACAACGCAAGGAAAAAGCTAATTTGCGCATACTCAAACTGTGGGATTTATAGTAAGTGCTTCGTGTTTACATGTTGGAGATGAGTTATCTGTCATCTTGACCGTCGCTATCGTTATCAATGATGTTGCTACTATTATTACTGTTATTATTATTATTATAATCACAGCCTAGACTAGCCTGGTCTGGATAGATGTGATGGTGTTCTTTTACTGCATGACATACTATATATAATACTGTAAACATTAATACTGTATAACGCATCTTACCCAATCATTCTTCAAAACTATTTATTTATTACACAGGGGTGGTGATGTTGCTATTATTACTGTTATTATTATCATTATTATCATAGCCTAGCCTAGCCTGGTCTGGATAGAGCCACTGTGATGGTGTTCTTCTACTGCGTGGTATACAGTATACAATACTGTAAACATTAATACTGTATTTATTTAACGCATTTTACCTAACCGTTCTTCAAAACTATTTATTTATTACACAGGGGTGATGCTAGCGGGAGTGGGGGAAGGCCCTTGTGGGACAGAAAAACCACAAGTCGTCGGGGAGAAAAAAATATATATGTATTTTTTACACTGGTCTCTACTAGTAGACTCTGAAATCGATTAAATAAGCCTTTGAAACCCCTAAATTGTCATTTTTTTGGGGGGCTTTTCCCCTCCACTATGTAGCATTTACGAGAAATTTTGAGCGGCGTCCGGCCATGTCCATTGGACACCCTCCTACTCACCCGTTAGGCAAGTCCTGGTACTACCCCTGATATTATATTGATTTAAATACTTACCTGAGTCTAGCACTATATTTTAGCTTTTTATTATGGTTGTTTTAATGTACAGTATTTAATCATATTTTAGTTATGTACAGTAAATATATGCCTACTTGTTATATCTAGATCTGCATAAGCAAAATTTAAGTCCTAGATTTAAAAAACATGAGAATATCATACAAATTGTAATCAAACAATAAGGAAACATTGTATTGCATATTTAATTTAATATGCCAAATTAATACAATAAAATATTACCTTTTAACATATTAAGGCCTAGGTGCAGTATTATTTAATCATGTTTTTGTTTAAAATTACAGGAAACAAGTGTAAACTGAATATTTACTAAACAGACCTAGGCTTAATCTAGGGGCTTATATTCGATCTGTGGAACATTTATAATTGTTGATTTATTATAATTATTTTTCTACAGGGTAGGCTTATCATTACAGTTAGCTAAAAAGCAAAAATAAGCTGAATATACAGCATTAACTGTACAGGCCTAACTCAGCCATGCCTGCTGTAGTAATCACAGTAGCAGAACACCAACAACCCAATCCCACCCTACAATACATTGCAGCAATACAATGAATCATAATTTCATAATGGTTTTTGAAAGTTTCCAGTGAAAATCATTGCGCCAACTGGGGTTCACATGGGCATAAGCCCCCACCGGACAGTCAAGGCCAACGTAGGGTAGTCAGACCTTAAAAAATATAAAAGTCTGAGTGTGCCATGTCCGGCCATCCAGAAGTTCCTCATGAAAAAAGTCATATTTAGGAGGAGGTGAACCCTCTCTCAAACCCTTCTCCCAGCTCGAGCCTATGAGCTCAAGCCCTATTATCAGACAGGCCCCTCCCCCCAGAAAATATATCCTAGAGCCGTCACTGTGCGGCAGCAAGAGGGAACCTTATCCATTTTGTTACGTTGCATCACGTAAGAAATGTATATTCAACTTTCCGTTTAGGAGGAAGATACGAAACTGCCAGAAGAGCGTTGCTACAGTTTTTCTGCCAGCGGGAACAAAGTTTTAGGGATATAGTAATTACGTGACATATAAGGTCTAGGTGTAGGGTCCTACTCAGCTCTAGCAATGAACCTTTTGACTTTAAAAATGTAAAAAATTGGATGTCTAGTAATACACTAAGGTTGAATGTGGATAAGAATAGATGGAATTAATGTTTATTGGTGCACATAAAAAATGATGGAAAACATGCAGAATTATTAGGACCAAAGTTATTCCTTGTTTCTTTTACTTAAAGAAATTTGCTCCCAAACCCTTTTTACTATAAGAGATTATACCTCAACCCACATAATAATTTCCCCTGTATAAAATTCCCACGTATTTCTCTTCCTCCTCTTCATCACATATCCAACCTACACTTGAATATGCTACTCTTGTCTTTGGCCTTTTTATCTAAATGTGGTATTTATTATATTTGCCAAATTTTACCATCTTCTCTAGATTCAATATAATTAGGTATAAATATAATTTGAGTGTGGGGGGAGGGGACAGGTTTGTTGATATACTAGATAGATAAAAATTTATTTATTAATTTATTCCCAACCTTTAACCAGGGTAGCCCAATCAGTCAAGTAGACTGGTCTCCCTTGGAGCCCTTGGTATACAAATTTTCAGAATATAGATTAAAATATCATTCAACTAAACATATAAAAAATAAAAATATAAAGTAACTGTGTAGACACAGAAAGAAGCATCTATTGTGTAGCAACTAAACACTAAACCATAGCAATGTATATTTGCCATATCTCTACAGGTAATTTTTTTTACCAGATGAGTGTGGGCAGCTTTAACAGCTGTGTACGAAAATAAAATTATCTTTATAGTTTGATAAATTCCAGTTTGCAGAATGCCAAATTTCTGACGAATATCAGAGACCCAACAATCTCTAATTGATGAATGCAGAATCACCGACATCCACTAAGGTGAAAACCAGTTTCCCGATTCAAACTGTAGTTATTGTAGGTTAGGGTTAGGGGATGCAAGTTTCCTGAGAGGATCAAGGCCCCTCCCCCTAAATCTTTTGCTAGCAAGATACTGATTACGCTGGATATCACTATTCCACAGTAATATCCACTTTTGCCGGCCTACCTGAAAGTATATAATTTGATATGTAGTACGATTCTGTCACCCAGTATTTGATAGCTCCTTCCCTCTCTTGGCAGGTGTCAACAATATGGGGGGAGTTAACAGGTTTAAGGTTATAAGAATCAACAAGTGTATCTTCTTGTCAATGATAACCAGATGTTCTAAACACGGAACGATTATTAAAATAATGAAAATTTTGCACTGGTGAATTGGATTGTTTAGATATTCATTTATAAAAATTATTTTGACAGAAGTCATATAAATGTGAAAGCTATGAATATTTAATTTCTATGTAACAAATCAAGTCAAAATACTGTGTAGCAGCATTGGCTTATATGGGGAGTGGCAAACGGTGCTTATTCCTACCTCCTCAACTCACCTAACCAGTGGCGTAACACTCATGCACTCTCAAGCGACGGTCCGCAGGATCCCTAACCCCTAAGGGCGCCTTACCACATGGTCTCGATCCAGCATCCTTACCCAAAAGGACTTTGTTGATACACAACAACATAATGTGTCTCTGACGTGGAGTGTATATATTATATCCAGTGGTGAATTAAAGGGGCCCCTAAATTTTTTAATTTTAAGTCTGTGATTGCCATAATCATAAATTTTCTTACTTCACCCACACAATGGTGAGGCTGTGGTGACCCTTTATCAGTAAAATTCTCCCTGGGCCTATATTCAACATTCCTGGACTCGCCACTCATATCATATCATTTACTTTTGTCGATGAAAATGCAATAATTAAAAAAGTAAGCACATCTAAAATCCCACATTGAAATTGGCGACCGGGACACAAAAGGCCCCAACCAACAATGCTATGTTTGGATAACAGCAACCACAGGACGGTTTCATATTGATATTTTAGATTGTCCAGAAATAAATACAAATTTATATATTATTAATGAGCATACAAGTTTATATATTAATACATTTTTTCTAACTCGGGTGTTCTTCCACTGTGGTATTAGACAGCCGAATATGTGAAAGGTTATCTTGTTGAGCTGGGCCTCCATTCTAAGTCCTTATCTGAGAAGACTTGGTTCTACCCATGGGCTAGGAGCGGCTGGAACCAGTGCCGATGTTAAGGCTGTATTTAGCGGCGCCCCTGCCTTACCGCTCGGCTTGTTATTCATTTTTTAAAAATTATTTTGACAGACCTCATATAAATTTAAATTCTATAAATATTGATTTCTATGTAAAGCATATACTACCAATGCATAGAAGTAACACATCAAGTAAAAATACTGGGTAGCAGCACTGGCATATCTAGGGGGCAAAAAGGTGTTTATATCCCTCCACCTTCACATCACCCAACCAACAATGTCATGTGTACATAAAGCAACCCTCACGACTGTTTCATATTGATATTTTATATTGTCTAGAAATTAATAAACTCATGACGTTTCTTGAAAACACAAGAGCATATACAAGTTAATATAAATAATGCATTTTAATTTAATCATTTCAGATCAAAATGTATCTTGCAATTGCTATAAAACTCAGCATTATCTGCATCATCCAAGCAGCTGCTCAAGGTGATACCCAAGTTTGTAGTGGCTGTTGTACTGCTCCTGCAGGGATTCCTGGAATTCCAGGCAGCCATGGTAATCCTGGTGGTCCTGGTCCAACAGGCATGAAAGGAGATGTTGGGGAAAAAGGAGAGAAGGGAAACCAGGGATCAGATGGAAGAGATGGGCTTCCAGGTAAAATAGGACCAATCGGTTTACCGGGTGCTACTGGTGAGAAAGGAGGAAAAGGAGAGAAAGGTGAACAAGCTACCACAATCAGCCAGCCCAAATCTGCCTTCTCAGTTGCATATAATGTAAACCCAGACCGCCTACCAGTTAGTCCTATGAAATACCCGTTAATAATTACCAACTTTGGGAATGACTACAATAAAGAAACAGGAAAGTTTGTCTGTCAACATCCAGGCATCTATGTCTTCCAGTTTACATCAGGCTCATCAAGTGGTAATGATAATATTTTGACAAGCATCAAAAAGAATGGGCAACGCATTCTCTCCTCATGGGAGAGTGGTTCAGGCTACAAATCAGCCAGCAACATGGTAGTTCTTGATTTAGTAGCAAATGATGAAGTGTGGACTGAGCCTTACAGTACCAGCCATAACTATTACTACAGTAGTAGCTACATCTACTGTTCTTTTTCAGGCTTCCTGCTTTATGCATCTGCATAAGGAAATTTTGAAAACCTAATAATTACAAATTCCAAATCAGCAAATAGAATATGACAATCTTTTTTAATGACTTTTTATCATTAGTAAATAACATAGTATTAGAAAAAAAGTTGGCAATGCTCACTCAATGCTGCATTGAATGTCAGCAGTAATTACAAAAATTCAATTCAATTCAATATTTATTTGCTCCAAAAGCTTATCCGCCATACAAGAAACATGCTTTTAGTGGCTTTATATGGCCTCCTATACACACTACAATATTTTCTATATTATATGATAGTGAATACAGGCATATTTGTAGTAAATAGCTTAGATAATAATGCTACAATTATAGTCCAAGGCACAGCAAGCATTCTTAGCCTACGATGTAACATCATACAGTTGTTAGTTCATGATACTTGATTAATAATAAAATACAATCTGATCATTTTACTAGAACTAGCTAATGTTTTTGGAATTCTCTATTATTAAGTACTATGAATAAAAGAAATTTAAAAATGAACAAACATGTTAAAAATTGTTTGGTTTTTGTCTGAATTTGTGCTGACATCAAAGCTCATTTAACAGGATTTTGCAAAAATGTGGTGTGAAAACCAAAGTGCATCAAGTCTACAAATCCCACAACTGCAATATTGGGGGTTTGCATTACCGACTATAGTCGAACCCCTCAAACAAATTCTTCGTTATAATTATCTTGCGAACTAGTTTTAATAAATATATTTTATTTATAAATAATAATAAAATTATGTTGTATGATGTCTATTCACATTATACTGTACTAGTATATAGGTATAGGCCAGGTTTTATTCTAGGCTGAGATATTAACACGTTGCAGCTTAGCTAAGGCCTGGATAAACAGGCACAAAAAACACAATAAAACACCAGAAATTATTAGTCAATGAAAGAAACATACCTAAATTTTAAACAGACTAATTTTCTCAATTTAGTTTATGCTTCAAAGTGAATTATCCCAGAATCATCTAACCTACATTCAGCAACTCTCAACTGATAGGTTACTAATCATACCAGATACTGCAGGACATATCAACACATATAGGTTTATGTGCTTTGCTGATGATTTACTCAAAAAAAAAAAAGAATAGGCCTACAAAACAGAAAATGGAGTTGGATATTACATGATATCCTTTATTTCACTTTTTACACATAAAAATTGGTGTGTGCAGGTATACTTGACTCGCTTGGTGTGTGTACTATGTTTGGTTACTCACATAGTATGTGTGTATGGTCGAATCGCAGTTGGATTTATATAGCACTTGATACCGAACAGTCTCTGCATTGATGTGTGAATTGGCTCTTATAATAACTTGCTTCTCCCCTGAGAGTCTCTCTGTGTCTAAGCTACCTGGTCCACCAGTCTGAGCTACTCTTGTCTGTCCACAATAGGGAGGGGTGAATGGACCAGTACCCTGGGGTAGGTCCCCCCCAGTACCCTGGGGTAGGTCCCCCTACTTGTCTTTAAAGATGTCCTGGGTTCTTTAAATATGGAATATGCATGGTGTGTGCAGGTATGGTTGACTCACATGGTGTGTGCAGTTATGGCTGACCTACATGGTGTGACCCTATATGCTGTGTGCTGGTATAGTTTACTCAAATGGTGTATGGATGTATGGTTATTGGTCTCACATGGTGTGTGCAGGTATGATTTCACACATGTTGTGTACGTACGGTGAGGTTCACATGTTGTGTGCCGGTTTGATTACTCACATGGTGTGTGTATGTGTAGGGTTGATTTGCCTGGCAGGTGCAGCACACCTGCCAATCCCTGGGTCATGAAAATCTTTAGATTTTTTTTTTAATCTTACCAAAAAATCCAAATTAACCAAAAGATGATGCAAGATACTAAAAAAGACACGTCAAGAAAACATTGGCCGTTGGTGGCGACGGTCGAATAAAAAATGGATGCTTGTCACGAAGCAAGCAGGCGGCGAATACATTGATTAATAACGTTCGAATCAATCAAATTTATGCATAAATCCGAGTATTTTCGGGGACGAGTAAAATCAGTGAAATAGGTTGAAAATAACATTCGATAGGGAGAACTGGAGATTTTTTTAAATGTCGGGTGACACCAAACAGGATCGGGTGAGTTGACAGGTTCGGTGTAGGTATGTTACTTGCACTGTGTGTGCAGGTGTCATTACTCACATACAGTGCGTGCAGGTATGGTTCACATGGTGTTTATAGCATGAATTTAACATATTGGCAATTATCTGTCCGTAGAGACTAATTATTAAGTTATATGCATATTAAATTGGAGTATATTGTGTCTGTCTGTCACCTAGTTGCCTTGTTCCTGACATTTCATGAACCCAATACTTGGACTATTCGTGGATCTCAGTAAAGACTACAAAAGTTTGTTTTGATTATCTTCATACATAGTCAGATAGGATGGATAACCATGATCCACACCCTCTTTCCAGAATGAAGTAATGTGTGAAGTATCCTTATCATTCCGAGTATCTTTATTTTCATCTTCACCATTACCGTCCCTACAACCACCATCACTATCACCATGATGAGTGGTCATGGATCACAGTAAATGAATAATTAAAGAAAAGGTTTAAATGAGCACTTGTTCTGATTGTGATCGTGATAACAAATATCCACTCCAAATTTCAGGTAAGAAGTAAGTATTTTTTCCAACATAAACCTTTAATGAGTTCATTATTATTCGGACATACATTCGTAATGATATCCAAAACCATGATATCTAAAAATAAGTAAAGAAAAAAAAAGGTTTAAATGAAATGAGCACTTGTTTTGATTACCTTTAGGCACACCAAATTTCAGGTAAGAAAGTAAGGCAAGGAGCTTTGTATTCATCCGGACAAATATAAAAAAAAAAAACACTTGTTCTGATTACCTTTAAGCACAGTCAGATATATTGGGATGGTAATAAACATCCACTCCAAATTTCCGGGTGGAAAAGTGAGGGGCTTTGTATTCATACCGACAAATATTCAGAGACACCTTTGTTCTGATTCCCTTTATGCTCGGTCGGATATATTGGGATGCTAACAAAGATCCCCACCCTATTTATAGAAAGAAATAATGTGCAGAGTTTGTTATCATTTGGACATACATCCGTAACGATAGTTAATAACCGGAATATTGTCGGGTAATATTGGTTTTGGAATTCAATAACAAAGTTGTTGAACCTTTATTTAATCCATCTGGATTCACAAGATAAGAAAGATAGAAAAAAAGTTAAAGAAATCTGATTGTATATAAAGGTAATCAGAACAATGAAAGATTCATTCAGTACACAAGACAGCATTAAAGAAACAGCACATCAAACAAGAAAACATCTCTCAGCACTTCAGACAAGGCAAAGGACTTCAGCAAGACTCACGAAATTGTCAAAGGCAAGTAGAAATTGAAATAAGTTTGCTTACAGTTCTGCTTTTCAAACACAGTCAATCTAGTTTTGCCATAGTACAATTACTGTAGTTTCTTTGTAGCATATGATTTAGTTTATGGATTTCTAATTACATAAAAAGAAGGTTCAACACTAGTCATATGTACTTCAATAAATATGTTTTTTAAACATTTTGGTAATATGTATGCACTATTCACTAAGTAGAAGAGGCTGTAATGTTGCTGAATTGATTTTAGTTTAATAGTTTTTTCAATTTATAATCAAACCAGTCGACCCAGTAGTAAATGATATTTGAATTGATAATTATATAATCATGAAGTAAAAACAGATTGTTTACAATGGAGGTGAAATCTTCTATTATTAACTGTCAAATGTAAAGAAAAGGCCCCATTTTATTTAAGTAATAAATTTATTTTTAACAACAATAATCACCCTCATTGTACTAGGAACAAGCCTAATAACTTGATTGAACAAAAATGGGATCAGGCAAATTTTTATATTGTGAAACTAAAGCATGGAACAGCCTTCCCAATGAAATTCAAACAATATTTAATGAACTTTCCATACAGTCTTTTAAAAATATTTTAAACGATATATAATTAAACACTATTTAATTACTCTCTTCCTGACAAAATATTGAATCAAAATTTTACAGATTTTTCCTTTTCAATTCTGTCAAACTATTTTGTTTTCGATGCAGTAGTTTCATATTTATGTACATATTGTTTTTCTCTTACTCATTAGTTTTGTCTTAAGTTCAATTTCTTTTTCCATTTTGGTTTTCTTTTATTCATTTTTCTTGTGATCCACTTGTGATACCAGTGCTACACCACTAAAAGTATTATCACAAAAAAGACAGAAATAAATAAATAAATAAATAGATAGTGTGCTTTATTCAGGTTAGAAAGTTAACTTGTAATTGCAAAAATAGTGGAATCAGTCTATATAATATATTTTCAGATGCTAATTATTTGTTTTCATTGTATTTACTGATTGTAAATATTATATGGATATTAGTATCCAAATTAAATCAATTATTTCACACCGTAGGCATAAAGAAATTTTTTTGAAGAAAAATATCCGACCCAGATATTTTCTTTTTTGCAGAGAAATTTTTTAAAAATATATTTATATAGTTTATATTTCAATTACTTCAAAACTATGCTTGGATTATTATTCCTCCCATTTCTTCCACGGACAAACTCTCTGTTACACACAATATGTTTCTTTATCATGTGCAACATTTCTACCACAATTTCTGCCACAAAGAGTTAATTCATTGATGCATAGAATGAACAAAAACAACCATTGCTTCTAATAAATATTGAAAATAGGGTCAAGTAAATGTTGTTCCCCCAACTTTGTGGAATGACCAATGACATTACTGCTTTATATTTAGTGAATTGCCGTCGTTGCTGTTTGCGTAAAATTGAATTGCTTCAATTTTACACAACGCAAGACCACAAGGCAAGGAAAAAACTAATTTGCGCATGCTCAAACTGTGGGATTTGTAGTTAGTGCTTCATGTTTACATGTTGGAGATGAGTTATCTGTCATCTTGACCGTCGCTATCTTTATCAATGATGTTGCTACTATTATTACTGTTATTATTATCAGTATCATCACAGCCTAGACTAGCCTGGTCTGAATAGATGTGATGGTGTTCTTCTACTGCATGGCATACTGTATATAACACTCTATAACGCATCTTACCCAACCGTTCTTCAAAACTATTTATTTATTACACAGGAATGATGTTGCTGCTATTATTACTGTTATTATTACCATTATTGTTATTATTATCATTATTATCATAGCCTAGCCTAGCCTGGTCTGGATAGAGCCACTGTGATGGTGTTCTTCTACTGTGTGGCATACTGTATATAATACTGTAAACATTAATACTGTATTTATATAATGCATCTTATCCTTTCTTCAAAACAATTTATTTACTACACAGGGGTGATGTTGTTGCTACTATTACTGTTATTTTATCATTATTGTCATAGCCTAGCCTAGCCTGGTCTGGATAGAGCCACTGTGATGGTGTCTACTGTGTGGCATACTGTA